GTTGAAATTATTATCATCAAAACAAATAATGAAGAATAAATATATACATTATCAAGAATTTTGTTGTTGATCCAAGAAAGTACAAAGTTTCTTGTTGTAGAGATCTTTATTACTTCTATATATCTTAGTTAGTTTATATCCTCTCCTTTACACTTGTTTGGACCAAATTATCACAAAAAAATTTACTTGCACCTAATCTAACCTATCTTATTTTGAAATTTTATAACTTAATATAAAATTAATAGAATGATTTGAAACCTTTTGAAATAGATTTCATATCTTATTTTCTTTTCAAAATCAAATTTTTAAAGTAATTGATGATTTAAATTATTTATAGAAAATAAATTAACTAAGCTAAATTTTTAGTCATTGTCTTTTTTTTTATTCACACATCGAATTATTCTTTTGTATATATCTCCAAAATCAAATTTCATAATAAATTGAAACTTTAGAATTCTATTTTAGACTTTACAAAACAATTGCAATCTAAATCTCATAATCATACCTCTTATAGATACCAAGTTCTAATCCCTCAAAATTGTTGTCCTTGATTTAAAAATTTGTTGGATCCTTTTTGATTAAGTACTTTGTTTCTCCTTGATTTGATTAATTTTTGTCCCTCAAACTTTATACATAGATAGATATATTTGTCTTAAATATTATTCTAAAATCTTATTTTAATCAAAGATTCCAATCAATTACAATAGACTCTAATCTAAGATCCAAAATCTTTTTATTAGCCAAAATAAACAACTCATCAACAATGCCCTTTGTACCTCTCATCACTCTCTTAAGTCACCTTGAGACCTCAAAAATATCAGGAAGATGTTTCCAAGATATTCCAAGTTTTCCTCTCAATGTCTCTTGGATGTTTCCTACTTGCCTCTTAGATGACTCTTAGTTGTCTTTAAGATGCAAAGTCATCCCTTGTAGTATCATATTATAACACAATTATATAGTGAAAATATTAAAAAAATTGATTTCTAATTAATATTCAACCATCTTGATTCAATAAGAACTCAAGATAATTAAAAAAAGATTTATGAAAGTCTTTTAGATTATTTATTTTTATTAATAGCCAGTAGATAAAAATTATTTATCAAATTTTCTTCTTAGGCTATAGAAACTCTTTTATTACCTTAGAAAGGCCATAAACTAGTAAAAATAAGATAGATGAGATAAATAATTGATCTAGTTGACATTAAGATAAAGATGAGGATAGGATTGTGTTTAAAAATTCCTAAAATACGTTGGATTGATACCTAAAAAGAACTAGTTGCAAATCAGGTTCAAAGTCAGAATCTAAGGTAGAAAACTGCACACCTACAGTGACTTCAGGATTTTTTTATAAATCAGAAAGAAGAATTTGGAAGAAGACTTTATAGAATTTTTTGAAGTATTGGTTTTGAGTGATTTGAATTTGTAATGAATTTGTAAAAGCTTTACAAAGTTAGAATTGTTTTGGGTGACTTCATATTTTATGAAATAAAATTAGATTTATAATTTGAGACATTTTGTGAGTTTTGTAGTACATCTATAAATGAATTTTTTTGGGATTGTGTATATAATTGTATTGAACATATGTTATAAATTTGAGCTTAATTAAATGATCAGATTAGAGGTTATTGAAGTTCACATAGGTTAAGATCTTGAAAATTGGATTTTAAGTCTAGTAAGGTTATCTAAAATTTGCAACAATCTCTCAATTGGATTGAAGGGATTTTTGTTGAAACTAATATTTGACTTGACTTCTAACACCTCTGAAAAATTTGAAAATAAATTAATAATAAAATTAGGAATTATTGTTGTGGAAAAATCAATATTAATGTCAAAGATATGGAAGCAACTCACATCCAAGTAGATTATGATATTTTTTTTTCTCATTTTATAAATTCGATTCTCTTCAAAATTATTATGTTTATTTTTAATTAAGGATTTGAGAGGTGCAAAATTTTTTAATTAAGACCAATGGTTTATTCAATAAAAATTGAGGTTTTATATTTGCTCTAGGATTGGTTTTAATTAATTAGGTTTTGGTTAGAATCTATTTAGGAATTGATTAGTATTTGATTAAGGATTTAGGATCTAATTAGGATTTCTTTAGGATTTGTTTAGAATTTCTTTAGAATTTCTTAAAGATTTTATTTAGATTTCTTTTGGATTCTTTTATGGTTTCATTAGGATTTTATTAGAATTTTTTATGATTTCTTTATGGTTTTTTATGATTTCTTTAAGATTTTCTTTGAATTTCTTTAGAATTTCTTTTGATTTTCTCTATTATTTCTTTATGATTTCTTTAGAAGTTCTTTAGGTTTTTTTTGTGTTTCTTTTGTAATATCTATGAATATTTATTTGAAATTCATCAATATTTGATTATGTTAATTAAGCTTTAATTGCACTTTATACATGATTCTATTAGAGTTGTTAGGATTTATTGTTGCAATTCTCTTTTATCTTCCATAGCTAATAGTTAGCCCATTTTCAAGCAAGATTTCACATACTATGACAATGGTCTACCATATCTTCACCACCAAACCTTCTCAATAATCAATTTAATATATATATGTAATTTGTAAAAATATAAATATTTAAAAAATTTCCAAATCTTCTAAAATCTTTTAATTCAATCTAATGTTTATTAGTCAATTTACATTTTTTTTGAGGCCTTTTAAGAGCCTTTGTAGTATTTCATAATAAGCAAAGATTTTTTAAAAGTTTTCTAGAATTTTTTATATAAAGTTCTTAAGACTCCTAAAATTTTCTCCAAGCCTTTAAATCTTATTTAATTATATTAAAAAACCCAATTTCCACTCTTTAAATAAAAAGGAAAAATGAAGGATTTTTTATTTATGGAACTAGAAGTTTTAGATAAGACCAAATATTTTTTATATTTTATTTTTTATTTTTTTTATCTTACAAAAAGTCTTGATGATTATTGGTGACTTTATGTTAAATTTAGTATGTATATAAAGAGAGTCGTGCAACAAAAAAAGATCATGAAATTAAAAAATATATAAAAAATAAAAATAAATTTCATAAAAATATTTGATTTAAATTTTAAAATAGTTTTGTTTTGTTAATAAGTTAAAGTTTAAAACTTAAAGTTTAAATTATCAAGATAAAATAAAATATACATATCAAACTATATATATATATATATATATATATATATATGATTCATAAAATTATATGATTATATAAATTTTATTACTAAAATTGCATATTATTAATAAAAGTTTATATATATATATATATATATATATATATATATAGTTTTTCTTATTAACTTAAATAAGCTCTTTAAATATTTATAAAATGATTCAGTAATTAGTTCATAAATTAAGAAATAGATAAAAATAATCATCAATTATGATTTATGATTAAATTAAAATATTTTATTATTCAGCATGTGAAGCTTCAATAATATATTTTAATTTTAAAATTTTTTAAAAAAAACATAACTTAAAAAAATTGAAATTATAAACAAGTGCCAATATCTATTTTTAATATTAATTATTAAGAGTTCAAATAATTATGTTAAATGAGTCTATATATATAATGTACTAGCCTTATAATATATATATATATATATATATATATATATATATATATATATATTTTTTATTGGAGGCACTAGATCATTATATATAATGATCGAGGTGTCAAAACTATTTGTTGTCTCTAGAGTTAGTAATTAAGTATTTCAAAAAGAAATATCTTGATTTGAAAACAATTAATGGTGTTTTAATGGTATTACAAAAAAAAAAAAAAAAAAAAAAAAAAAAACTCTATATATATATATATATATATATATATAATATTAACTTTAGATTTGCTTTCTTTCATACAATTCAAACCAGTTGGATGTCTATTGTTACAAATATATCATACTATGAAGCATTTGACGTAAATTGTTTGAGTACATTAGTAATTTTAAAAAATTTGGCCGAATTACCAAGATAGCATAATTAATGTTAGAGTTTTTAGATGATTTTCATATAAACAATAGCTCTCATAATGACCTGTGATTAAACTAAAAGTATTATGGTTATATTAATACATTGATAAATATTGTTAAAAATATCCATCTAACTATAGTGTATATATATATATATATATATATATAATATGCTAAATAAGTTTTAATTTTCTTTACTATATTTCTCATTATTTTGTGAATATGATATCTTTATTTTTGGATTGCATATGACTGTGGATGGTTGAAAGTAAGATAAACCCATTGTAATAAATTTGTATAATAATTACATATTTTTGTAAAACATATGTATATATTTTTTTTGAATTAGTTACTTATTTTTTACATTTGCCACTACAAGTTTTTGAGCAACACAATTGTTGCCTTGTTTCTAATCTTAAAGGTAGTCATGTTCCTAATCCGATATTTATTTACTGTATTTCTTCTTATCTTTGTGTCTTTGACAATGTTCAATTTAATAAGAGTAATCTATTTTTTATTTAAAAAATTAAAGAATTTATATGACTTGGATTGAAAGATTATAAAAAGGACATAATTGAAGTTCTAAGAATTTTTAAGTCCAAATTAGTATTGAGTTATAATTACTAGTTTCAAGTTAAACACTCTATGCCAAGCTATATATGAAGAATACACCACCTTCTGATGATGGTAGTCTGTGATAACACGGAATATTAAATATTATTAATATTATCAACAAGGAATAATATTATTAACAAGGAAAAAAACTGAGAAGTGATGACGTGACACACCCACATCAAACTCATCCACTTTTTCATCCATCCCCTGGATCGACGACGGGGCTTCACCACGTTCATCCAGTCTTCACTCGAGCGTGTCTGCGTGCTTTCGTTCGTTCATTCGTTAGTTCATTGCCTTTTATCCGCGGTGAAAGTAGTTTTTTATGCGAGTATCAGTTTGTGGAGAGGGAAAGGGAAAAGCTTGCTACGTGGAGGTCGAAATTAAGGCTGCAACCGACCTACCAGCCTCGAAGGGGTCGACGTAGTGTGCCCCGCTTTGAAAAAAAAAGCCTGGGGAGAAGGTCTATCCACTTCGAGTGAGTTTTTCTAAGCTTGTCGAGCACGTTGGTGCGGCACTCTCGCCGCGCTGGGAATGCTTCCGGCCTGCGGCGTTGCCCGAATGCTGCATTGCCATTCCCTGTGGTGGTAATGCCACTTTCGATCGCTCTGGCGCTTCTTCATCAGAATTTCCTTGTGAATTTTGATTGTTTCTCCAGGTCGGAGCGAGGGTTTTTGCTGGGGGGGGGGGGTTATGAGGGTCGAGCTTGGTAGTCGCTTCGTGGCTTGAGTGGATAGATGTGGGGTTCCGTTTGGTGAATTCCGGGGGTAGCGTTGTTATTGTTTAGTTTCTGTCGACGTTGAGTGCACGTGAGACTTGGAAGCTGCGTCGAAGTGTGATTGGTATTCTTCCTATTGTTATTTCAATTTTATCGTGTTCTCTACTGCTTCAATGCCGTGGCTGTGCGAACCTTAATTTGGAACTGAAGTGGTCGGTTTGTTATTGTAGTAGGCGAGCTAATTGCAGCTTGAGCTGACAAGGGAGTTCCTCGCGTCGAGTGAGGAATTTGAGATTTGACGGAGTGTTGTCGGTGTCCGCGTCGGCGCTTTGGGTTTGGAGATTGACAATTTGAGGTGTGTTTTAGTGGAATTATCTTCCATTGAATCCCATTGAATCCTTATCTTGGGAGGAGCAGCGCTTTCTCATGGCGCTCACTTCCCATTCTAGCTCAGGTTCGGTTGAGGGAAAGAATGGAGTAGGAGACACTCGCAGAAGCGTCCAGGTTAATAAAGTCTTCTGGAAAGCCTCAAACCCCAGGGGTTTCCGTCTGCAGAAGCTCATGAGCGATGACCACCTTGCAGGTATGCTCAATGCGGTCGAAAATGCATTTCAAATCGGTCAGAGGGCCTATGATAAGAAGCTTCAGCAGGGCTTTCGCTTGACTAAGTTTTGCAGAATTGAGTTGCCCAATGCGTGGCAATGGAAGAGTCGCCAAACATCACGAGGCATTCATCAACAGAAGCCCTTGGGAACCGCTGTTTTATCTACCAGGTACAGCATTGTTTCTGTGAGCATCTGTATCGTTTTGATCTCATATTGGAAGTATGAGGTGCTTTCATGTACCACAGACTATTTCACTTCCTATTCGGGTCTGGAGGACTTTTAAATTTCTTTGACCCGACGAATGGTTCTTGTCTATGCATTGTTGTAACAACATCCAGAACGTGCTTTCTTACACTCTCATGCATCAGAACGTGTATTATGAACACCGGTGTATCATTTCATGGCGGTCCTGACTTTTGCTATTACGAATGTAGATTATGAGTGAACCTTCTGGAGTGACTGTAAGTTGTGAGTTTTTCCTGAAATTTTTCGGTATGTCCAGAATGACGGCGTTCCCTGGTGCATTAACCGCTAACGCAGCAGGGGGTGGCAGTCAGGAGATAGATGAGTTGGAGGCGCAATTTAGAGTTCCAGAAGTTCCTGGTTTTGATAAGCTACTAAAGCATCCTCTGGCTCTTATAAGTTTTGTGCCAAGAGAGGTGGCTCTGTTCTTTGCGGGAGCTATGGCTGGTGCAGCTGCAAAGACAGTTACAGCTCCATTGGATAGAGTAAAGCTTCTTATGCAGGTGAGCGTCCATGAGTTGTGTATCGCGGTCTAACTCCAAATCTGCCAATTTCTTCAAAACTATTTGTCGACTAATGCTGGCAACTGCATGTAAATGTGTATACTTGTAGATCAAACACACACTGCTCTTGAAATTAGTTCCACTCGATAATACGTATCGCTTGTTTAAATTGAAGTGAAATTCGACATTCATGTATTAGGCACTCTCAAATTGCTTCCGTGTGTGCATTTCCTGTTAAAGTTTTTCAAAAGTTAGGAAATGTACCAGTAGTAGATGCCGACAATGTTGTTTTTAGAGTGCTTGAATGCTTGAATGTTTGTTTCTGTGTAGAAGCCTTACAATCTCACACAAGCTTGCATATTTGTTTCTAAACGCAAGGCTGGATGTGCAGGTGCACGGAGTACGGATGGCACAAGAAGGTAGCAGCAAGAGCATTGGACTCCTGGAGGTACACCAAGCCATATCTTATCTAGCATTATCCTCAACAATGGGACTTTTCAGTTCTTTTTTTGCAACTGCTGTTAGGAAGTTATACTTTTGATTTCTCTGAACCTGCGCTTATTTTACATCATCTGCTGCAGGCAGTATCTCACATAGGGAATCAAGAAGGCATGGCAGGTTTTTGGAAAGGAAATGTTCCACAGGTATTTGCTTAGAGCAATAGGTTCAACTTGGCACACAGTCGGTTGTTGAAATTGTTTCCTCTTGTGGAGAGGATTTAATCTTTGATTAATAGTATCCTCTTCTGTAAAATCGAAGTTCCTTTTTATTTTTCATGTCTCTGCTATCACGTCTTTTTTCAAACAGTTTCAACCTTATTCTCTCTTTTGGAGCAGCTTTTCCAGTGGCTTTAGTTTTTATTGATGTCCTCTGAAGAAGCTCTTCTGTTTATTTCTTCTGACTATTGATTATTCTGGTATGGCACATGTGAAGGTTGTCCGTGTCATACCTTACAGCGCTGTACAACTCTTTGCATATGAAGCTTACAAGGTCATCCTCTGCATTGATTACCTTGGTTAATTAGAAACGATTCTCATGACCATGGGTTCGGTTGCGTCAAGTTGCTTCTTGACATATGGGTTCTGGATAACTGCATTATGATGTTTCGTTTTAGTCCCAATGGTGCTAGAATGCAAGATCTTTTGCGGAATAGATCAGCATTTCCTTAATTTCTGTTCAGTCTGCAAATCATGCTACTCTCTTGTATTCTGTAAGAAATTCACTGAGAAATTCTTACGATTTACATCTTGATTCGATTGTGTGTCGCATAGGATGATGGATGCACTCCTGACGCCCTGTTACGTTGTGATTTTTGCCTACAGAAATTGTTCAAAGGTGAAGATGAAGAACTTTCAATTGTCGGTAGACTTGCTGCAGGCGCATGTGCTGGCATGACCTCTACTTTGGTAAGCATTGAGCTGTGTAGAGTTGGGATCCACCTATGATAAGTTGTTTTCTGAATTTGTTTTTCGGGAACCTAACTTTTATCTTTTTTATTTTCTCGGTTTACTGCATTCATCACCAGTTTGACCTGGTCATGGGAGCTTTATTTTTTGTCTTGGCATTAGGAAGTGTACTAACAAAAAGGTGATTGAAGCGCTGTGTTCAATGCCGCCAGTGTAATCTATCAATCTGCGAATTTTCTTAGTAGGATGGAAGTAGTCGTGGAGATCGACACACGGAAAGTGGGATGATGGTAGATTGTCTTAACATGATTTTTTTTTGTGCTGCACCTTCCAGGTGACATATCCATTGGATGTATTGCGTTTGCGGTTGGCTGTTGATTCAACTACGAGATCGATGGGTCAGGTACATTGAATGCAGGAATTTCTCACAATCTGGATAGTCATTTGCATATTGAACATTAGTCCACGTGTAGTTTAGTACCTTCTTTTGAGTGCTTTCCAAGCTCGTAGCTTTTATTGAATCAGTCTTTTTTCCAGGTGGCGGGAACAATGCTTCGAGAAGAGGGATTAAAATCATTTTACAAAGGGCTGGGACCATCTCTATTGGGCATTGCACCATATATCGCTCTTAATTTCTGCGTGTTTGACTTGTACGTTCACCTACAAAAAATTTCATGGGCTTATATTTATTAGATGGCATTTTACACGTCGTATTGTGGCTATGATGTTGTCGATTCTGATCTATTGGATGGTCATCTGTATTATCTATGATGCACATATGTCGCATTTATTTGTACTTCTGACAGACAGAGCTCCGCATTTTCTGGTTCTAGAGAACGATTTATTTACAAACTGATTACTTGGTATTCTTGATTACGAGCAGGGTCAAGAAATCTCTTCCAGAGGAATTAAGGAAAAAGCCTGAAGCGTCATTTCTGACAGCCTTAGTGTCGGCCTCCTTCGCTACGACCATGTGTTATCCGCTTGACACTGCACGGCGGCAAATGCAAATGAAGGGCTCACCGTTCAACTCTTTTCTTGATGCTATTCCAGGTGCGTCATTTTACCACGTTTTTGTAGATGGATGTAGAAGGGTAGAATGAAACTATCCATGTATAAATTTTGAGTGACTTCTGTGCAATACTTTTTGGATATGATGTAGCCCGTTATAGGTTGATTGTTATAAGTTCACTAACAAAAAGTAAAACATGGAATATACTTGTAAATCTTTTTGAGAACGATCCTCCACAATATCATGAAGACATTCCCCTAATTGTGTATTTATCTGAATCTCCTTTTAGGTATTGTTGCTCGAGATGGTTTCCATGGTTTGTACCGCGGTTTTGTTCCGAACGTGCTGAAAAACCTCCCAAACAGCAGGTATCATATCTTAATCATTCATGCTGTTCACAAGATGTGCCAGTTGACAAGGGTTGTACCATGTAGGTGTATGCCAGTGCTTATGAATATGCGAAGAGAGTCAGTTTTAATTCGTTAGATCATCGTCGAATAAGTTGACCCACACTAGTCCCTAAGTTTGATATTTAAGGATGTCTATCTCAACGTCTTTTTTCTTCTTCTTTTATTTATTTATTTATTTATTTATCTTAGACGAATTTGAACACTTGGTATATTTAATGTTAAGGGTTTTTGCTTTGCTTTTAAATTACTGAGTTGTTCTAAAACACCCATTCGAGTGAGGATCCAATGTTGAGCTCTCCTCTTTTGCAGATGAACTAACGATTCTCGACTCTTGTTTGTAGTATTCGATTGACGACCTTTGATGCTGCCAAGAATCTAATTACCGCTAGCCAGGCTGAGTACCAGAGAGTTCTCGAAGAGCATCAGAAATCTTTCACCAGTTCTTAGACGTCGACATTATTTTTAATTCATTTACTTAGTCCACATTTACAATTTTGGCTTGGATGGTAGTCACTTTATTCAATTGAAGATTCCCAACCATTTGAGGATGCTTGTCAATGATGGGACAAACCTTTTGTAGGCTAGGACAGTGTATCCAGAAAGTGACAGTCTTGGCTGACTTTTTAGTTATTGATAACACATTCAAATTGTCCATGCAGATCCTTCACCACGATCCGCCGTATCCTACCACCCGTATTCTATTCGTAGATCTTAGTGTTAACTGACCACCTGCTTTTAGTTCAAGAGATAGTGTGGTGCCCAGGCGAGACCAGTGTGTGAAGGAATTTCGATACGAGTCACCTTTTACTATTTTTTCGTTAAACTCGAGAAAATATCAACTTTTTACTGTCAATGAAGGAAATTTATTGCAATTTCATAGTGACCCAAGGTACTCATTGACAAGGATTCAGTTTATGTGTCTTCACCTTGACAAGTGATAGACTTGCATGGTAACTATAGTAAAGTTAAACAGTCTTAGTGACAAGTGGGTGTCGGTGGAATTTGTGCATGCTAGATGTGACACCTTCGTCGACATTAACCTCAGCAGTAGTAAGATTGTGACGAGCTGTACTCCTTACTGAGATGGTGCTGATAAATCCCAGAGTCAGCTCATACATTTGGGCGACCACGAGTCTCCAGTCCAGTATATTTGTGGCTGCTCGTGTTGGGAGTTGGGTGTGGGCGAGGCTTGAAGACTCAAGGAACTCTCCAACAAGACAAGCCGCATCGGTAAAATACTCGATAAATACTTCCAGTTGTGGGGTTCTTTACTGCAGGGAGCCCTATTGGTTGAAGGTAACCAGTTGGGAGAGACGATCCCCCAGATGTAGTGCTGTTTTGAAGCAGACGAGTAGGAGCTCTTCAGATCTTCATTGGAGGCTGCCATGCCTCAGAAGCATTTGAGAGTAGCACAAGAACCTCTTTCTTCACTCTGGGTTTTCTTTTATGCATTGAAGGTCAGCCGTGTGCATTGCAATGTTGCAGAATGGGTCCCAGATCCCGAGTTGATGTGGTGAGAAAGACATGTTTGTTTTCTCCAAAAAACAAAAATAATCACAAAAGCACATCACTTTCTTTTCTTTTCTTTTCTTTTCTTTTTTAATGATTTTATCAAACTTTGAATTTTTTGAATGGATGATTTTACAAGTACTTACACATATTGGTAATTGGAACTTTTGCTTTAGAAGCAATATGTAAAAGCAAATTTTTGTTGTGCTGTGATGTGCAATACAATAATAAATTATAATACAAACAAGACAACCAAGTATGGCACAATAACTAAATAAAATAATAAAACACACAAGCAAAAAAATTACAAAGAGAATAAATGCATGCAAGAAGTGGAACAAGAAGGGAAGAACAAAGGCGGGTCCAATGTATATTCCCCTGCAAATAGCTTTAATCTCGGTTGAGTTCCCTTAGAGGAGACGCGCAAAGTGTGGCTTTTTACTGTTCACCAAATCTTTAGTTGCAGAATGTGGCATTTTTTGCCAACGTGTTGGTTCGAGATCGGCGCGGTTTTGTGAGGGATCCGTGATGCAGCTTGCCCCGTGATTCGCCGAAGCCAACCTGCTGCTCTCAGTTGTCACGCAATTCTCAGCTCCGTAAAGATAGTGTTAGAGAGGCTGGTTGTCTGATTCACCGACTGGCTGCCTGACTTTTTGTTTTTTTAGCAGAAGCTGCTGTTTCTTCCCTCAATCGCAATGACGTTGGTTGCGAGCCGCGGTAGGATGAAGGTCGTTGTGATGGTGGTAGTGTTGATCGGGCTATGGTTTACCCTGGTGCAGTAAGTTGAACTCCCTGTGTACATCTTCGATCGTTGATCAGCTTCCCAAAGTGTCTGTTTTCGGTGCATGTCTCTTCGCATCTTTTTAAATGTGGAGAGTTTGGAAAGGTCATGTGTTTGTGTGGTTTTCTGAATGATAGGTACGACAATACGTGCACTCTGGGACGGAAGGAGGAGTTGTCGAGGAATATGGCGGGCTTTTCCAAAGGCTTAGGTGAGTTGAGTCGATGTGCTCAGATTACAATATGGATTGTTTTTTAGGGTTTTTAGGTGATTATGTTAACTACCCATCAGCAGCAAGAGGCTTGATTCTGTACGGCAGTTTCTGTTTCGACGAGCAATTGTCATGTTGGTTCCTGACGCATAGGTCCAGGCATTCTGTGTGACTCTCGAAATTTTGTCGGTAGGCGTGGTGAGGGATCTTTGCAGAAGGAAAGCGTATTATAGACTTTTTCTCCTCGAATCCGCTTGCTTCTGAGCGATAGAGGTATGACTGGTTTTTGTTTTATTTCAGCTGGCCAGCAAAATGGTGATGCAGGATTCAGCACGGATCAGGAGTCATCTATGGAGTAATATTTCCCTACGTTACTCTACTTGTACTCTCATAGTGTTCCTTTCACTGATAATCCCCATCTTTGTACTTTTAACCCCTGAAGCACTGTTGATTTATGTCTGTCTTCACCGTAGTCTGTTGGTCCTAACTCCGGGTAGGTTGCAGTTCAACGTAGAACTGCCCAAGTCGATGATTTAGTTCTCATGTGCCAAAGCACCAGAGTGAGAATCGTGTGTATTTTGATTCCCAGGTTGAGTGGCTTGCTTAAAGAGGCCATGCAACACGGGCAAGTCGGCAAGCCTACAATTCACCTAGTAGAGATCATGGAGGCGATGAGTCGGCCCTTCTTCATGTTCGTCTGCAGCAACTGCTACTGCGACATCTGTGACAAAGTGAGAAACTTAGGTTACTGGTCGCCAGTGGAATCAATGATCTTTCACACTGTTTTAAAACGCCATGGCTGCAGAGGAGGCAGAAATCTCGTAATAGACATCGGTGCCCATGTAGGCTACTTCTCACTCATAGCGGCGTCTTACGGGTGCCGAGTGAAATCTTTTGAGCCCAATTCTGTGGCTCTTCGCTACCTCAACCTCTCCAGAGCTCTAAACAATTACGATCAAATTAACTTATTCCAGAAAGGTGTAGGCCAAGCGGACACAAAAGCCATGTACAAGCAGACAGATACATGGGCTCTGAACGGATTCCTGAGGAGACGATTGCTGGAAACAGTGGAGGTCACAAGGCTTGACAGCATTGTTGATGAAGATGTGCTCCTCATGAAGATAGACACCGAAGGATATGAAGTGAATGTCTTTGCTGGGGCTAAGAATCTCCTTTCCGAGCACAGGGTGCATCACATATTAGCAGAGGTGAAGCAAGCAGGCTCACCATCAAAGAGGGAATTGTTGTATACCATTGCAAAAACAGGTCAGTTCACACATGTGTACAACTGGGATGAGGTTATCACTCCACTTTCAGTGCCACTGGATCAATTCACTCTGCAGAATGCTACTATTGTTGACGTAACAAGCATTGTGCTCAACAAGGATATTGCAGGATACCTGCAGTTTCAGGACTTTTGGTTTTGTAGAGAGCCCCTGCCTTGGTTATGAGAACACTCGTTCTCTAAGTGTTTGGCTTGTGTATAGGCTTCGCATCACATTTTTGTATGGCCCGATAAGATACCCACATCAATCAAACTTCTACTCTATTTAGAGACTTATTTTTATTTGTTATTATAATTTTTTTTAATACTTTTTTTCAGTAGAGAAATGTTTCAAACTCTCTTGTTAAGTTGGTTTCCGTTTTGTGCACTCTTATTCTTGCGCTGTTTTTTTGAGGTTGGAGGAAAATTGAAAAGAAGAGCAAGTGGTGTATCATCATGCCCTTGAATGTAATTTTCAATTAGTTTAAGTGGTTGTTGGAGAATTTGAAGGAATTTAAGCAACGGATAATAGCTTTGTATCATGACCAAAGGAATTAAACTGAAAAAAAAAAAAAAAAAAAAAACCCATTGCTTTAGTATAACTGAAATAATCAAACCAATGAAAATATTGTCATAGAGCCGCCAAAGGGACCCCACCAATGAATCACACCTCTTCAGTACAACTATGTGGAACATTTTTCCATGTTTTACCATAAAATGCAATGGGGGCATTAGAAACTATATATCACTAGGTATTGTTGATAATTGGTTAAAGAAATTACCGTAATTGATTCAATTCGTATTAACTAATGAATAGTCGAAAGCATAAAATTTTCGTTTTAGAAATATACAACTTTGTAGAAATTTACAAAAAAAATAAAAAAACAAAAATAAAAAAATCATTAACAAAGAAATAACTTATAGCTTTTATAAAAATAGTAAGGAAATTAACAATAATTTTGTTAATTGGAAGGATATTATTAATAATAATTTGGTAATATTACCAACAATTAGATGTAATGAAATTCATCATTACATCAATACATGGTGATGAAAGCTTTGATGTCATAATAGAACAATTTTCGAATTATATTGGAAGAAGATGTAAAGATGCATTAAAAAATCAGCCTGAAGAATAGATAGTTGGAATATTGTAATTGAAAAATATTATAGTTACATTAAAATATATAATTTACAAAGTGAAAATGGCATATGAATATTAAAATAATTATTAAAGCAACAAAATACAGTTTATTAAAAGTAGACATACAAACTCAATTATGCAATAGATATAAGTGTGGTTTGTTTCAAATCAAGACTTTTTTAAAAGATTGCATACAGAATAAGAATTTTAGTTGTAAAGAAGCTGTTTAAATTTATTGTTAAATTTAGTTTGATTACAAAAAAAATGGATTATATTTGTAACATAGAAATATAAAAAAGATTATGAATTTATCTCAATCAATTTGATCACTCATTGCACATGCATTAGTCAAACACAATAACAATTGTGAATGAAGAAAAGAACTCTAGAGATACAAAATCAAAAGATTTGTAAAGAAGGATGATATTCTTTGGACTAGTCAGGAATATATGATGTGGTATAAGAGGATAAAAACAAAAATGAATTGATTTAAGATTTACTTCGGTTAATTTAACATTCTTTCAAAGAATTAAATACTACATGTTAGAGTAAATTAAGACTTAAGATTAAGTTTTAATGTATAATAAAGTACTGAAATACCCTAAATAAAATTGGGTTTCTAAAATGAAAACATTCTACATAATTTTAATACTTTAAACTATGTAATGAAATATAATAATGATAAAAATTTGATATATTTTAAATAGTGAAAATTTTTATAACTATTTTATAATATAATATGTTTTTTTATATATGTTTAATTAAAAAATATTTTATTATATGTAAAACATATATAAACATGGTTTTATATAAAAATTATTAACCCAACTTCTCTTGAAAAAAATTATGTAAAAATTATTGATATGTCTATATTCATACCACAAACATGCTTTAAATAAACCTTCAAATATTCAAATAAAAATTATTTACACTCCTAACTTTTCCAATACAAGGATTCATCTCAATTTCAATACTTCTAAACCCTTTCAAAAAAGTTTCATTTACAACTAAAACATCATTTATTCTCAGCAATAAAATAAGTTTTTAATTTGGGAAGCCCATGGATTTATTAATAGCCAAACAATGGGTTCCTCAAGAATGAGTAACGAATGAAAAAGATATGAAAGAGAGAAGAAACAAGAGTGGATGAACGATGGACGTAGAGCGAGAATGGACGAACGTCGTCGTGGATGGACGAAGAATGGGTGACGGAGTAACGGGGGAGATAGGACGAGGCGCCTCTGGATGGATGAAATCGGGTGAAATGGATGGACGAGAATCAGGCGGTTTTTGTAGTGAGCCGCGCGGCTTCCGCGCTCACAACGTCCCAGTGCCCCACACACCCCCTTCCCATTCTCCCAGTTTGCTGCAGCCAGGAACCAGATCGCATTCGATGCAGTGGGGTCACTGCTTCATCTTTCTGAAGCCTTGGTTGTCAATTGTAGTCGAGCTCTTCTTCCTATTCTTCTTCTTCCCCCTCATGATGCTGAGTTTGACGAGATCCGGAGAATTGTAACTGCTCTTGGTTGCGTTGATGTCCATGCACCGTCGATGGGTACCTGACCCCAGTCATCCCAGTTTGAGATAAGAAAAAGTCATATTTGCGCGCTGAAGAGGAATTCTCGTAGTGTTTGATTGTTGTTGCTGGCATCACGAGAGAGAGAGAGAGAGAGAGAGAGAGGAAGAAAACTGAGAGTCTACTGTTGCCGGTCCAGTTTGGGGTACCATGGGAAGGCCGGCTCAGATCCACCATACAAATTGCCTCCTCCTGCCTCATCAGATGACGCCCCAAAGACGGTCTTCTTCCTTGTCTAGCGCCAAGTAAGACAATCAACTGGAATGCTTCTTATGGCTTGCATGTCTCGTGAAGCTCTCACACTTCAAACTTTCTTGTTGATTTGGACGTTGCAATATGAGTGATCACTGCTGTTGCGACTTTCGAGACATTCCCTGGATAACTTTGTTCTTCGTTATTAGTGTTTAACACTGCAGATTTTAATTTAGCGTATTGTCAGGAATCCTTCTACCCATTTCCATCTTTTGTGGTCATTCGCTTCCAATATTTTCCAGATTATTTAAGAGTTGACTGCAGATAAAGTCATAAAGAGAGAAGTGTGCTGTATTCAAGAATGATAATGTGTTTCTTTTATCAAGTTATGTACAATGCTTCAATGGCGCAGACGATGGCATTGAAACCATCCATCTTATTCCCGTCTTCCAACATAACCGCGTGTCATCTCGAGAGTACATTAAGATACTGCTTGCAGCTCGGTGTGTGATCCTGGGTCCCGAGTATGGAATAATCATTCTTTCAGGTTCATTGGCCGAGAACGCACAAGCAGGAGTAACGATTCAATTTACCAGTTCAGAATGATACCCCTGCCATAGAAGTATTGTTCACTGCCAAAACAAAGCAGTAGCTAACAGTGCCGAAATGTGAGACCTGTGCAGATTCGGCAACATCATGGTCGGTAAACTGATTGCATGCATCGGGATGCTTCTGTGGGCGGAGATCTTTGTGAGTGTCACAGTCTCCTCCTCAGATCTCGACGCAGATTTGTGGGAGAGCGAGACCGGCATGAACATAAAGCCATTTACCGCCGCAGCCCCCTCACCAAACACAACAACCGCAGCCAACTCCAATATACCCAAGGACAGCATCCTGATCGACAACGGTGATTTCGAGAAGTGTAATACCACGGTTAATATAACAAGTTATGCCGACTCCACATCAACTCCGATCCCAAACTGGACAGTGGGGGATGCGGGCGTGGAGATCATCCAGGGCCCGGACTACAAGATGTCATCCTTCGATCCGACTGGCAAGTATTGCATCCACCTCAACGAACCGACCAACTCGACAGCAACAAATGGCACTCAAGGATCGATCTGGACCACGCTGCCTGCCAATCCCACGATGGGTAAATTCTACACCGTGCAATTCGATACTGCTCGGATGCCCAATGCGGCTTTGAATCTCATCCCGTCGCTCATGGTGTCCTCCATTTCCGGAACCACCACGAACAACAGGCAGCTCCTCAAGATCAGGTACAACAGTTCTGACAGTCCGACGCAGATCACTTGGGTTCGTCAGAGCTTCATCTACGAGGGCAGCGGCGCCGCCACCAGTATCATGTTCTCGAGCATGTCGAATAGGTATGGCCCCTTGATCGACAACGTCGTGATTTTGCCGGGGAAACACGCACTCTCCGCTGCCATTCCTGCTGCCCCCCTGGCTATATTGCATCGTGTGTGTCCTATCATCACTGCCGTTGTCGTTATGGCCTTTCACTGCCCCCAGCTTTTATCATTCTTGTAATCGATTGTAGCTAACAACTTTCCCGATTATGAACAAGTTGCTGATCATTTGCTTATACGTACTAGGTTATTGTTTAGCTCCAGAGCCAATCTCGTCATGAATCTGGCTTCTCTTGTGTAAACAACTCTTCTGTGGCAATAAAAATATTTTTTATTGAAAATGTGCGCAAGGTTCCCATCGTCAGAGCATTACTTAATCGATGTACTTGATTTCTACGTCTCGTGCCGAATTCTTAAGGTCGATGCATTGCAAGACTGCTGTTCACGAGTTTTAGCTCAAATGCACAAGTTACGTGCATCCTTACCATTGAGAGTGACGAATAAGTAAAACTTAATCCCTCACAATGATAATGTCGTTGCGTGGAACAGATCCTCGACTAAGTATTGGACACATACATACACACATGCTGACTCACAGAAAGAGTCATTTATTTCGACGTGAACAGTGGCACATATACACAGATGCTGGATTCCAATCTCTTCTCTAAGTTGTGTTTTGCCAAAGGTTTTGTAAGAAGGTCTGCAATTTGATCTCGTGTGGGAATGTAAAGATTATCTACAATCCTTGCGAGAGTATTTTCATGGATGTAGTGCAACCATAATTCAATGTGTTTCATCTGTTCATAACATACAGGATTTTCGGTAGCTTTCAATGCACTTTGGTTGTCACAAAAGATGGTGATAAGATCAAGGATGATTTCGTGAATCCTTGTTGATAAGGTTCTCAACCGAATAGCCTTTTGAATTCCATCTACTAAGGCTTTTGTCTCTGCATCTGTTAATGATACTGCAATTGTATCTTGATTTTTGAAAGATCAAGAAATTAATCCACTTGCAAATTTAAACCCTTAACCTGTAATTGATTTTTTGTTGATACTACAATTAGTTCAATATGCGTCTGTATATCCAGTAATGGTGGTCTGTATATCCAAGGATGCAAGGATCCATTCTTCCATTCCAAATTCCTTAAGAATTTGTAGAGTATAAGTTCTTTGTGAAAGAAATATTCTTTTTTTGATTCAAAGGAATTTCACACGTAAATAGAATGTTGCATTGCTAAGATCTATAATATCTAATCTTTGTATGAGCTAGCTTTTAATATATCCCAAGTATTTCTTATTTGAGCATATAAGTAATAAGTCATCCACATATAATATTGATAATATAATTTCTATAACATTCTTAATATAAAAGAGTTTGTAATTTATTTTTATAAAAGAAAATTTGTGTTAATGAAAAAATTCATTTATTGTTTCAAACCATGCTTGTAGAACTTGTTTGAGTTCATTCAATGATTTTTTTAGACGACACTATATTAGAATCACAAAATCCTTTTGGTACTTCCATATACATTGTTTCTTTTAAATCTCCATTCAAAAAGATTGTTTTTACATCAAAATATATTAGTAGCAAATCACTGCTTGCAACAAGTAGTACTATCGATTATACATCTTTTCATTTTGCCATTGGGGCAAATATTTTATTATAGAGTGTAGAATAAGTAGTTATTTTTGGAATGTAGATACCTACTGTATAGTGTAAACATGGATAGATAACTGCTGAAAAGGTGGTTCAGCAGGTAGAATGGATGAATAGTCAAGAAAAGTAGTTATCATCTGTAGTATAGGAGTTGATATCTCGGGGTAGTATAAGGAGGATGGGAGAGGGGAAGAAAATGCCAGACTATGAGAGTTGTGAGCCGGGGTAAGCTTGGTGCTACTTCTTTTCTTTTGTTTGTTATTTTCTTTAAATAAGAGGATTGAAAGTTTCTGAATATTGTAAAGTGAATTATGGAATGGAAATGTGATTGGTATTATTTGAGAAGAAGAAAGATTGAATGCTGAAATCTGATTGTAGTTCAGTAGAGAGAATGAGTCTGTGTTTGTATGAAACACTGTAATGTGAATGGCAGTTTTGTGTGAAGAATTCCAGTGATTGGAACAAGGATAATTGTGTGCTGAAAGCTGTGAGGGCGCAGTATTACAGTTGGAGATTATGAGGATGAATATATTGGTGGAAATAGTAGTTATTGGTATAACTGAATTGCTGTAAAGAAGAGACCAATAAGATGAAGGAGGAGATTGTAGTTTCCTTGTTTATTCAGATATTGAAAATAGAGATGATACATTTAGGAGGTAATTGATTGTGTGACCCTAACGTGAACGCTTAAGCAATTAGTCATTCCCCATGTTTGAATCTCCCTACACGGGTTTATATTGGGAGGTTTCTTCCAGAATAAGTAAAACGAGCAATCACATTTTGGTATCGTTGCCGCGGAGTGATAATAGCTTTGAGTGTTAGGAATTAATTACCAAACGTGTGAGAAAATTGGCAATGGAAGACGATTTCAGTAGTATTTGAAGAAAGAGTATTGTTATTAAGAATGAGAATTTAACAGTAAAGAGAATAAAGCAATCAAAGGAAAGAACAGAGAGATCGCAAGCAAGAAATTTGTTACGTAATGAGCGAGATCGCAAATTGAAAAAGAAGCATCGACAAAGTTGGATTAAGCCATGGTTGCATGCTTGTCGACATATTCAATCGTACCCAGAAGACGATCGACTTCTAATATTTCAGAAGTACATACCATTAAAGAAATTGCCAAGAGTACTTGCGGGGAGTGCTGCTAATAGTCCAGCAAACCTCTCGAAGCCGTTAACAAAAAACGAGGAAGGCACAGAGGAATTAGGTACCCTTTTGGGTATCTTCTCAATTAGAAATACGTTTGATCCTAACAAGACTGGTTCTGAAGATCGACATAAATCACTTGCCAATAAAGACCAATTCAGAGTATATCAAAACCTGTTGTTTTCACCTCATTCAACCAGTAAAATTATTTGGAGATAATAATAGTCAATCGAGAAGGCTTGGAAGTCCGAAAAAGGCTTTTACAGGAGACAATTTTTGTTTTAATAAGAAATTGAGCAGAACACCAGCATCTTTAATGATGTCCAGAGGACCAGCAGTTTCGATTGCAGTTCAAATGGGTGCAGTGGGCGATTAAATGACTAGCATCGTGCCATTACCTACTTTTGGGGTTTTCCAGGTGCGGATCCAGATCAACATTTGTCTCAATTCTTGACAGCGTGTGTAGCCAATAATGGAAGAACAGAAGACATTTAGCTGAGATAGCTGCCAGCGACATTGAAAGACACAACGTTTGAGTGGTATAACCACCAACCTGTGGGACAATTTATCAATTGGAAAGCATTGAAAAATGCATTTTTAGCCCATTTTTGACCAATTGGTTTTAAAGAACGTCTTAGAGAAAAATTAATGAACAGCAGAATGGTACCAGAGGAAGCGGTACAGTCATATTATGGTCGTGTAGCGGATATACTTCAAAAATGGCCAAATAACCAAATACCAGAATCATTTGTGTTGTCCATATTAGTTAATGGACTACACCCACCAAAATTGAAAATGTTTGTAAAGGAGGCCCAATCAGCCACCATTGCATCATCTCTTGAGCGAGCAAAAGTATGGGAGGAATGTTACTATGACCAGAACTTAACAGTTGGAGCCACGATGATTCCATCTGAAGGAGGTTATCAAATGACAAATTGGAATGACACATCGAGAAGTTATTTGAGAAGGAATGATTATGGTACAATTCCACAGGGAATAGTGGATGCTGTTCCATTGCAAGTTGTACCACCATCATCATCACACCTGTATGCGCCTTATTCCGCGTATCAGAAACCAATACCTACAAAGGAATTGCCAAATGCATTGATATCAAGGGATCTTAATAAGTCATTGCTGTTAACATTGACGAAAAAAATGGATGAATTGGCTGTGAATCTAGCCAAGGATAAAGAAAAAAGGTATAAACCAACCAATATGCATCCCAATGTGTGGTACAGCAATTGTAATGGACAAGGTCATTTAGTAACAGAATGTCCTTCACTACCCCAAATTACTGTACAATGTACCTTTTGCGGAGGCAAGCATATTACCACCAATTGTTGGAATTTACGGAAGCAACAACAACTCAGTAACCAGATAATGACTCAACCAACTTCGTGGGATGTCAATCAAGTACAGACAAATAATAGGTTTGGCTGGAATGGAAATTGAGTGAATAAACAAAACAGGAATTATTCTAATTTCCTTAACTCTGAATTTTACCAAGAAGGTGTATGTAATACTCACGGATTGGCGATGAACCAACCAAGATACCATCAATATCCACCCATGACGAAGCCAATGCCTGACTCTACAGTAATAATGGATCAACCAAGATCCTTTACTCATTCGACATGAAACAGACCTAGCCGTTATATACTCGTAGAGACACCCAATATCCCTGAAGGAGTTGGCAGGAGACCACTTCATTGTTATCGTTGCAAAAAAATTGGTCATTATGCCAATGAATGTCCTAATCCAAGGGCCAGTGATGACTATGCTCCAATATGTGGAAATTGTAAGAAGTCTGGTCACACTTATCAGCAGTGCAATGCACCCTTTAATTATAATAACCGAGACTAGCAAATGCAAACAAGCCAACCGACAGAGAACAAAGGCCCTGTTCAACGAGACTCACCAGTATATCGTGTCGAGGTGGTAAACGCAGTGCTTACCAGAGGCCAACAAAAAGACAAGAATCTAATTGAGGACATGGATGAATCAATCGCAGGAGAGCAAGTATCGTCGTCCATAGGGCTAAATGAACCAATATTAGTATTGAGACATATCCCAATATTGAAACCTCAACAGACTGAGGAACCCAATTCAGTCCTACATACCAATTTACTGGGACCATCAAGATTGATCCCAACTGACCAAGTACCAATACTTGTACAACCCAATAAAAGATCTTACGCATTAAAGGAACCTTTAGTGGTAGACAAGTTGGCGAAGTTACCAACAACAATCCCAATCGCCAGGAAGGAATTGCTACCGAACGGAGTAAAATCGAAACCAATAAAACGCAAAAGAACATTGAGAATTACTCTCAGTATGAAACCCTACGACATTCTGAGGGATTTGGATGTTATTCAGCCTTCAATTACAATGAAGCAACTTTTGGCTATAGCACCGGAATGTCGATCTACATTGAATTTAGCATTAATACGACGAAGATCCCGCATTAAAGAAATTCATGAAGTTAGCTTAAATCCAGATCCGGGATCACCAACAATCGATGTATCAATCAATG